TAGTTTATCAAAGTAGTTGTAATAACAATACGTAATTTCATTTAATGTGTTTATTACGTTTATTCGTTATTTTCATTACTTTGTAAGTAAATTTTTGCATTTTTGCCCACCCTGTACCAATTTGAAGCAACATATTATACATTTTTGGAATCAGCTCAGCAGAGGCAATTTGGAAATTAAAAAAAAATGGGGGGTTCCATTTAAAAAAAATGGTGATGACGTCATTACACGAAAGTGGTTCACCCTGTATATTAGGTTATGATTTGAAACAATAGTAAATTGAAATCAAAAATCGACCTGTTTTGGGAATTCCTAATTTTATTGTTCATTTAGCCAATAATGAATTTATGCGTTACTTTATGGACGCACTGTATAAGTGGGATACTTAAGCCGGGATCCAACGGCGCGTGGAGCGGCACTCCTCGGCGCGTAGAATGGCAATCCTGGGTTGTGAGTTGAGTCTCAACGGTCGGACCGTTCCCACGGCGCATAAGGATCGCGCAGATGTGGACACGCGCCCATTGCAGTCTGTTTTACGAAGGCAGTGTTGGCGATAAAAAATTCATAATTTTGTTTAATTGCATGAAAAGATGAACCGTGAGCGGACGCGTATCGTTGCTGCCTCAGCCTTTTATTTTATGTTAGGGGTTTACAGGATGGCAAGAGAACAAAAAATAAAACGAAAACAAAGAAGATGATCTTTGTATAGAAATCGAGATAGGTAAGTACATTATAGAATATTTTGCGTGTGAGTGTTTAAAACTGATGTTCACAAGCGTTATATACTATAATTTTTCTACGACTGCAATTTGGTTCTTATTTTACACACATTTGGAAAAGGCTTGGAATAATAGACATAGTCTGACAGTCATAAAAAATAAACTTTGGAATAATTTGTAATTTTAATGTTTTTGCTGCAAATAATATAGTTTTCTTTTAATCATTTGTAGGTACAGTGCCACAGACATGTTAGAAGATTTACGCCAAGAACCCTCAGGCTATTTTAAAAACTTTTGTCGAAAAGTTTCCGAAATATTCCCATTAATGTATCTTTTTTTTTTTTCAAATCTGCGATTGAACATTTTACACTCATTTGCTCTTTAATTCAACTCCAGGCATCATGAACTAAGTTCCTGTTTTTATGGTTTGGATCCTGTGGGTTCCAAATAATCGGCTCTGCTTCATAAAATGATAAAAATTCTAACACCACTCCATGGTGAAAGTTACCACGGCACTGGTAGTACCACGCTCCTAGCCGCGCCGTTGGAGCTGTAAGCACGTGTGGCGCGTCAACGTTCGCGCCCCTTTGAACCGTGTTGATTTACCGACTGACGACGGGACTCATCGCGCCGACCGAAGATTGGCAAGCTTACCGTATCCAACGGAGCGGGAACTGGCAAGTTTGGCATGTGGAGTGCCGCTCCACGCGCCGTTGGATCCCGGCTTTTAGATAGTTTAGCCATGTTAATTAGAAAATTTAATTTAAAAGATACAAAATCAGATGAATTCGAAGTATTTTTTTCAACTAATTTTTAAATAATTAAATGCCGGCAGGCTACATTATGCTCCTTATTCTTTTATTTGCAACACTTTCTCTTTTATTACTTTTCAACCGTTCTCCACCAGAAATCAATGTTGATTACCAAGAACCGGAAAAAATGCACCAAAAAATATAAAAAAAATGCGCATTTTAATGCAATTGATTTGCGAAAAATATACAAAGGTATTTGCGAAAAATGCAATGTAAAAATTCAATAATAATAATAATAATTATTAATCCTTACTTTATATTAGTCTATAATCACATTTAATAAAACCAATAGTTTGTTTTTAAGTACCTATACAGGGTGTTATTGAAATACACGTACATATTAAAACTGGGTATTGCGCAGATCCCCACTGAATGTAGAAAAATATTATTTTTTAAAAATACCCCTTATTAAGGGAGTTACTAATTTTTGAAAATTAATTCTAAAACAAACGTACTTCACTGATATGTTGAGGATGACCTATATAAATTAGGTTTATTTACCTATTTTAAACATCAACAGTAATTAATATGCAAGTTTTTGTCAGATGATAAGAAAACTAGTCTTGTAAGAAATAACCATGTTGCCAAGATTTTCGAATTAATTTTTATTTCCGAAGACTGGTTTTTACTACCCTCGTTATCAAAAAACTAGAATATTTGATAAATGATTGTTTTTAAACTATACATTTTTGAAACTATAGATTATTAAAATTTTAGTTGATTTACGAATCTGGCTAACACGAGCGCGTCATTTCCAAGTTGGTAAAAAGTGTTGTTACGATTACTTTTAAATATTTTTTTACGATGCCACTATTTACGAATATTGAACTAACGGATATAGTGCTGGTTTATGGGGCAGGTGGAGAAAATTCTCGGCAAGCACAAATCCTGTATCGCGAACGGTTTCCAAATCGGAGAATTCCGGACTGTCGTACGTTTATTTCAACTGTTCAGCATCTAAGAGACCATGGAAAATTTGAGAGTGTCAATGCAGATCGAGGGAGAACAAGAACACAAAGAACATTGGCGGCCGAAGAAGAAATATTGGAAGCTGTTGAAAACCGGCCTCAATTAAGTTGTAGAAGACTAGGTCTTGAAATTGGAGTGTCCTCATTTGTTGTGTGGCGGATACTTAAAGGACAAGGTTTACATCCTTATCACATCCAAAAAGTCCAGGCCTTATATTCAGGTGATGAAGAAAAGAGAGTGGAGTTTTGTAAATGGATGATTCAAAAATGTGTTGACATTCCTGATTTTCTAAAAATATTATTGTATACTGACGAGGCTTCATTCACTCGTGATGGCGTGTTCAATATGCACAATACGCATATTTGGAGTGATGAAAATCCTCACGCCATTAGGGAAACTGGGCATCAAAGAAAATTTTCAATAAATGTTTGGGCTGGCATAATAGATCAGTATTTAATCGGGCCTTATGTTCTCCCGAACAGATTAAATGGGCCAGGATATCTCCACTTTTTAGAAGATATTTTGCCAGTACTCCTAGAAGAGATACCGTTACAATTAAGGCAACGGATGTGGTACCTACTAGATGGCGCTCCTCCTCACTTTGATTTAAACGTACGGCAGTTTTTGAACATTAGATTTCCTCAAAAGTGGATAGGCAGAAATGGACCTACTAAGTGGCCTCCGAGATCTCCGGACTTAAATCCATGCGATTTCGTTTTGTGGGGTCACATGAAACAACTGGTTTATAATGAACCTATTAATAGTGTTGAACAATTAACCAATAAAGTTAATGCGGTAGCCGAGGAACTACGACAAAATCCAAGACTAATTTCTAATGTTCAAAGTTCTTTGGAAAGACGATTGCAAGTGTGTGTAAATAATAATGGACGGCATTTTGAACAATTACTGTAATAAACTTTATTTTGAATTAATTGGTTTTGCTACGGCAACAGTGCAATTTCTATGGGTAAGTTCAATTTCGATTTATTTTACTTCTTTAAATATGGAAACTAGTAGGTCGGAAAAGGGGGCTCTTCCCCAATATTTAAATTTTAGAATTTGAAGTTAAAATTGGTGCCAATCGTTTTTGGTCATTACATACTATTCCCCATTTTAATATGTACGTGTATTTCAATAACACCCTGTATACTTTATTTATCAATATCTTGAATTACACAATACTACAAAACACTAGCATACATAAGAACATAGTATATTAACAAATACAAATACTATTTATTGTAATTGTTAAAAGCATTGACAACTAGTCATTTTTCAATATTTTCCACAACAAAGTTTAGTCTTTTGTCCATATACATTATGTTTTTTATACATCGAAAAGCTTCGTTAATTAAAATTGGGTAAAATATTTAAATTGATTAACAGTCTGCCGAAAATAGTTTCGAAACTTTTTGAAATTTGAAAACCCTCATTTTTTTCTAGCACAGCGTAATATTTAATTAAAATAATTTTTCCTATTTTCTATTAAGCTTTTTTAAATGCTTTCTCTGCATTATCTAATAATTCAACAGCCTCAACTAAAAATACAGATGTATTTTATAATTGCACAAGGACTTTTGACACAAAGGAATAATTTGGTTTTATTTAAACAAGTTGATGTGGTAGTCGTTAATTTTCAAATAACTCCTTAGACTCTGAAAGAGTATCTGAAGAAGAATCTGTTAAATCAAGAATGACTTTTTTTGTTGATTTATAATAATTTTCCACATAAAATAAAACTGCATCAAGCCATGTGCCTCACCGGGTTATTTGTTTTTTAATTTTAAATCGCATCAACCACGAGGGTTATTAAAGAACTATAATTGAGGCCATGAGTGCAATAGTGGACTAACCCCAAATGGCCTTAATGCTAAAAATTCAATTTAAAAAATGTTTAAACTTTTCGATTCAAATTAGAAATATTTTAAATATGTTTTACAGTGTTACTTAATTTTTTTTATAATATAAATCAGTCTTACTTCATAAAACACACTTTATATTGAAAAAAATATGGTTTTGTTATTAGTTAGATGTGGGTTAGTCCATTTTTCCTCTAAGCAAGTAAGGGTCGATCTTTTCACCTTCAGATAAAGTGTCAGGTAATTTTTATCTTTCAAGTAACTTAAAAAGTAATTTTTTTACACCTCTGGATAAACTTAACTTCTAAATGATAAATTATCTTATTTAAGAAATTTCTGATAAAATACTTCACTGATGGATAAGCAGGTAGTTACATGACCACATAAGGTTAAAAACTACTGGATACCTACCACACATATTATTTACTTGAAAAAATAGAAAATTAATTATCTGACAGACAGTAACTCTCAGATAATATATCCGTCAGTTAGTTATCTGGAACTTTATCTGAAGGTGAAAAGACCGATTCTAAATGAATTTATTAAGGTTAGGCAATTTTTATTAAAGATATTTTATTATTATTCAAAAGGTTTTGTACAAATAAATCAATCGGAAAAACTTTTGAGAAAGTAATAATCTTTCACATACAAAAATAATAGATTAAACACCTTACAACAGGTAAAAAAAGTTCGTCTTCTTCTTCTTCTTCTTCTTCTTCTTCTTCAGGGTAATCTAGCATTTCTCCACCAGTTCCTTGTGCTGCAGACCGAAGATTTTCATAAAAACCATGATACACTGAGGGAATAAATTCTTTTAGCTGAAGGAGATCTTTTTTTTTGGCATCGTTAATAACATTACCGTCAGGGTATAATAAGGCAAGTTTTGGAGCTTGTAATACCGATTTTCGCTTACTTATATCAACAGTTTCAAAGAGAACATCGTTGTTATTAGAGTACTTAAACTGAATCTTAAATGGACAGTGATTCTGAAAGCGTAGCCATTGAATTTTTAGCCATTTCACTTTAACTTTATCTTTGGAAATTTTCCTATTGGTGATGTTATTTTCAAAAGATTTTGTAGAAAAAAAATTAGAACTTTTCATTTCTACCAATTTGAATGGATATTTTTTCTGGCATTTATTATTACCTTATTCCAGTCTGCAGGAATAAAAATATGCGGATGAAATTTCTTTTCCTTCTCAATGACTCCATGATCTTCATCGCAGGAAAAGTATTAATAGCCACTAACTAAATTTATGATCTATTTGGTCAACTTCAAATTCTGGTGATGAAACTATGTAATCACAGAGCACAGACATTTTTATATTTCGATTCTGACCTCCACATTGGTCAGAATACATGATAATTTTTTTTGTAGTGACAACATTTTTAATGTAATATAGGAAACAAGATCCAACCTCTTGAGGACCTTTCCATACAAACATGTTTGAATCATTATTTGCCATGTTATGAACCGAAAAATCCAGAGCTGCCTTTTATAGTAACAGATCCCTGTTTTTACAACAGGTGTTGGCAAGGTTTTCATAAGGTCAAAGCATATAACTGCAACTGTAACGTCATCTTTTTATAAATCAGTGTAATCTTTCAAGCTATTCCTTGCTCTTTCGGCCTTTCTTTGGTGAAATTCACGTTCAACTTCAAGTTCCTTTTTTTTTACTTCATCAACTGTTGATTTAATTTTGATATTAAAAAGATCACATTTCTTGCATGAATCTGATATAGGGAAACGGAAATATAAGTTAAACTTCTTATTGAATATTTCTCTAAAAACAAAATAAGAAACAGGGCTGTTTCATAAATTTTTGTACAGACTGTTCATTTTGACTCAAATCTGGTGCAAGGTATTTCCTATGATTACTTTACGGTCTACCGTAATGAGATTCGTAACTTGGGAACTTTTTAATGAACTTTCTAACTTCTTTTTTCTGTACGTCTGTGTGTGTGCGTGCGTGCGTATGTGTGTGTGTGTGTGTGTGTGTGTGTGTGTGTGTGTGTATGTGTACGTGTGTGTGTGTGTGTGTGTGTGTGTGTGTATGTGTACGTGTGTGTGTGTGTGTGTGTGTGTGTGTGTGCGTGCGTGCGTGCGTGCGTGCGTGCGTGTGTGTGTGTGTGTGGGTGCGTGCGTGCGTGCGTGCGTGCGTACGTGCGTGCGTGCGTGCGTGCGTGCGTGCGTGCGTGCGTGCGTGCGTACGTGCGTGCGTGCGTGCGTGCGTGCGTGCGTGCGTGCGTGCGTGCGTGCGTGCGTGCGTGCGTGCGTGCGTGCGTGCGTGCGTGCGTGCGTGCGTGCGTGCGTGCGTGCGTGCGTGCGTGCGTGCGTGCGTGCGTGCGTGCGTGCGTGCGTGCGTGCGTGCGTGCGTGCGTGCGTGCGTGCGTGCGTGCGTGCGTGCGTGCGTGCGTGCGTGCGTGCGTGCGTGCGTGCGTGTGTGTATCCACCATAACTCATGAATCAATACAAACAAGACACCAAATCAAGTAAATGTTGATATGTTAAAATTACATGTCGATACCATTCCGATGTTTGATAGGGATGAAAACAATTTAGCAAAACTTTTTAATAGTTGTGACTTCGTAGTAAACACGTATGCAAATGTAAATGATCCGGCAATTCCAAGTTATATTGTTCAGGTAATAAAATCGAGATTTGTAGATTAAATACTTGAAATTCTATTAGAGAATCATTACAAAAATGCTTTGGAGATAGACGATTTTTAGAATGTGACGAACAGGATTTTTTAACAGCACAACCACAAAGAAACGAACAACCAATAGATTTTGCCCGAAAGTTACAGATTTTGAGAAGCCACTTGATCGGTAGAATTAATAACTTTACAGATGCTGAAATTCTTTTACATACTAAAGAGTCATACAGAAGACAATATAATCAAATGGCGTTGAGAACCTTGTTAAGAAATATTTCTGGTAACTTACAAAGTATCATAAGACTTAAAAATGCAATCAATATAGAACAAGTAATAACTTGTATTATAAAAGAAAATTTCGCATATTCACAGAATAATATAAAATAGATTGAACCCCCTCAATATCAAATTACAATCGATTTATTAATCGCCAAAATTCCAATAATATTTGCCAAAATTCTAATAACAATAGCCAACATTTTAGTAATAACCAGTATAGAAGCTTCCCTCTAACATTCCAAAATACTAGAAACCAGCCCGACAATGCTTATCAGAGAAATTTTGCTCCTATACAACTACCCGTAACTTATCAAAACAACCAGCCAACCAATTCTTGTACAACCGCGTACGATAAATAGATATTATCCAACAAATAGACAGGTATTTGGGCCACCGAAAAATGCATTCGCCCCAACGGGCCAAATACCCACCAACAGTCCAGTACCAATGTCGACTACTACTCGAAATACCTTCAGACCCAGACAAAATTTCCAAAATTATCAACAATCCTTGTCGACAACCACCCAAAACACTTTCAGACCCAGTCAAATCTATCAACAAAATTTTGCAACCCAACAACCGTTTCAAACAGATAACATAGATTTTGAAAATCAATTTGAGAAAACTCCTATCGATCAAATCGATTACGAATTTGAAAGTTATTTACCAAATCATCAAATGAATTCAAACTCAAAAAATAATGAAATTCCTATAAATTCTGACCCTAGTAATTTCGACTATCAGCGTGCCGAAAATTTTCAGAAAACAGCCAGAGTAAAACAAGGAACATAAACAAAATATTTCCAATCCATATTCTGCGGATTTGCCATATATAGTTATACAAAATACACCCTTAAAACACCTTGTAGACACTGGTAGAATGTCTAGTATGTTAAGTCCAAATATCGTTGAGAAGTATTTCCCAGAAAATATTTACAACGAACCAACCTTAATAATTACAGCTATTGGTAAAAAGCAAACCGAGTATAAAGCTAAAATTCCTGCCTTTAAAGAATTTAATTCCAATATTAACCTTAACTTTATAGTATTTAAATTCCATAATCATTTTGATGGGCTATTAGGATTAAACGAAATACGTAACCTAAAGTTTACAGTAGATTTAGTAAAAAATTAATTAAAAAATGAAAATACAAAAATACCAATTTTATATAAAATAATAGGGAATATTATACAATTTCTGTTATGCAGGTGCCAGTAGATTATTTTAGTGACGAGGTAATTGTACCCGAAATGAAATACGGAGATCTTGATTTCCAGAAACATTGACTTTATCTTGTAACGGCCTTGCGAAAACGGAAATAGTGAACAATACAGAAAGAAGAATTAAATAATACGCTAACAGAACCTATTAAAGTTCTTCCACTTACAGAGGGACACAAAAATAATTTAGAATTTTTTCATATAGAAAATATTTTACAAAATTTTAATAATGAACAATTGGATAAGGTCATAGAAAACTTAATACGCACAAGTCATTTAAATTCTGAAAAAAAAGAATTTTAATTAGTCTATGTAACGAAATTACCGAATTATTCTACAGAGAGAACCAAAAATTGAGTTTTACAAATCAAGTAAAACACGAAATAAAGACCACAGACGAAAGTCCATAGTCTATGTCAAGTCATATCGTTATCCATTCGTATACAAGAACGAAGTACAAAGACAAATTTCCAAGTTGCTTGAAGGTGGGATTATAGGGCCCAGTCAAAGTTCATGGAGTAGTCCAATATAGGTCGTCCAAAAGCGTCCAGACGCTAGCGGACGTAGGAAAGTCAGAATAGTGGTCGACTACAGAAAAGTGAACGAAAAGACTAGAGGATAGATACCCTATTCAAAATATAACCGACATCCTAGATAAACTAGGACGATGTCAATATTTTACTACCCTGGATTTAGCATCCGGATTTCATCAGATCGAGATGGATCCCAAGTCGTTACAAAAAACTGCTGTCATCGTAGAAAGTGGCCACTATGAATACACCCGCATGCCCTTCGGTCTTAGGAATGCTACAGCAACCTTTAAAAGGGTAATGGACAACGTTCTTAGGAATCTTCAAGGCAAAATTTGTCTTGTATACATGGACGGTATCATTGTACTCAGCTCTTCCTTAGAACAACACATTTAAAATTTAAGATTAGTCTTTAAACGTTTACGGGAAACTAAACTAAAAGTCCATTTCGAAAAATGTGAATTTTTAAGAAAAGGAGTAGAATTTCTCGGTCATGTAGTAACCCCGGACGGTGTAAAACCTAACCCAAATAAAAGAATTTGCATTGCCACAAACGGCCAAAGATATTAAATCGTTTCTGGGGCTTGTGGGATATTACCGCCTATTCATCAAAAATTTCGCTATATTAACGAAACCACTTACCAAATGTTTAGAAAGGGGCTAAAATTGAATACACCCAAGAATTCTTAAATGCTTTTAATGTGTTCGAAAATTTTAGGTTATAATAAAAAGTGACTTCTACAAAACTACAAAAGCTGTAGATTTTTTATTGAACTACAACTTTTGCATTATACATTTTTGCTTTAACGTTAACTTTCGCCAGAAATCGCGATTATATCATTACACCAAACTTTACTTCAATCCCTCCCCCAGGTTGCATTTTTTATTTATTTACTATAAGCCCCTGTTAATTTTTTTTTCTCAAAGTAAATTTGTTGAGCTCTCTCTACTTTTTTTGGGGGGATAGTTTTGTGCATATTAAAATGATGCCAGAAAACCTTAGACATCTACGGGGATAGTTAAAATATCGGACAAAAAATTAAAATTGTCACATCTTTAAATTTATTCCTCTTTTGAGTGAAGCTATCTTCTTGGCTGATAGGCCATTTTAATGTTATAATGAATCAATTTTACGAACTTTCAAGTCAGTTTTTAATAATTATTTTCCCTTTCCTATTTTTTTTTTTTTTTCGTGACACTAGAATTATAAATGTTTTATCTTGTTAACTGTACTGAAACTATTGGCAACACTATATGAAAATTATAAGATATTTGGTTATTAAAACATTGTAACATTTATTAATTTTTCGCATTTTATTTTTTAAATAACTATATGGAACGAATACGTTTGTTTACGTGTCTATAACACAAATTAAAACATTGCTCACTAATGGGACAGCCTGTATATAAATA